AGCCCCGCCCGAGCAGACTGATCCATTTCGGTAACGACACCCGCGTTCTCTCTCATCCGCTACGGGCACCGGATCCGTCCTGCGAAGCCCACCTGTCCCGCTCCCCCACCTGAGGAGGGAGCAGGGAAGCTGTCCCCCCGTTAAAAGTCGGTTTGGGAGCAGGTATCCAACACCCAGCCCGGGGCTGACGGCTGGACGGGGGGCAACGAGAGCCCGTGGCCCGTGAGCACCGGCAGCCGTTTCATGAAATAAAAATCAACTCATCGCACGCCACGAGAGCGGCTTTGCCTCCCAGCCCCCCGCAGCCCTGCCTTCTTTTCAGAGTCAATTCTTTTCCAAAGCTGTCCCCTGTGGGATTTTGAGTCCTGCCATGAACCCGTCACTCAACAGCAGGCCTGGACCGGAGGAGGCGGCTGTATACCCCTGGCAATCAGGACAGGGGGTTGTTTTTCTTGGATGGAGGAGATGAAAACGCTGCCTGCGGCAGGTAACCATCTCTTGAGTCGCTCAGCAGAAGCTGAAGGCCCGCATGGACGGACGTGCACCCACCGCTGCGTCCCTGAGAAAGGGACAGGCTGCGGCGGGTGAGAAGAGGAAACTCCTCAGTTGTGGGATAAGAGTCAAACCTTGTGACAGCTGGAAAGTGGATTTAAGCCAAAGCAAACAAGCAAAAATAAAAGAGAACAGCCCAAAGAAAACAAGGCAGCCTGGATCGGTGCCGTGGTTTTACCAGAGGTAGAGGAAAGCTGCGACAGCACGAGGCCCGGAGAGACGTCAGCACCCAGACTTGCTTGCTGTGTCCAAGAAACATGAACTGCCATGGGAAGGAGCACGAGGAAGGCTCAGAGGCTGTTTGGGGACATGGGAACCCTTTGCTACAGGGAGAGTACGGGGGAGCTCGGTTTTCCTATCCTAGAAGGAGAAAAGGAGCTATCAGGTGACCTGCTGCCATCAATAAATACACCCGGGGATTGAGTAAACATCGTGGAGAGAAAAAACATAAAGTGAAGCTGAAGAACAACACTGGCACAAAGACATGTTTACAGAAACTAGCCAGGAAGGAGTTTAGTCTGAAAGGGAGGTGACAGCTCCTGCCCAGCCACCCAGGGAGGTCCTCGGTGGCCTTGGACAGAGGCACTGGGGTAAATGAAGTGGTCCTCTTCAAAGGCAGAGCTCAGGCAGCTTGGGAAAGGAGATAACAAGGCTGTGGCAACGGGGGACAGACCCCCGTGGCCATGGGGGACAGCTCAAGCCTTTGTTCCTACCTCCCCGAGGCCAAGAGCTGCCGCAGCAGAGAGCACAGACACCTCTTTGCTTACACACCGGCCGGCACACCCCGATGGTTTCCCACCGGCTGGCTTCAAACCACTGCAAGGGGATTCCGAAAGTCAAAGATCCAGCACGGGAAGACATTAACTCCTCCCTCACCCGCCAGCTCCGGCTCGCAGACCTCCCGCATTCAAAATTAAAACCACGGCAAAGCCGGACCGAAGCATCCTTAACAAGAAGACACCAGCGCGACCACGCTGCAGGCGGGTGCATGGGCAGCCACGCGTTGAAAAGCCACCGCTTGTTTTTCTTGCGCCACCCAGACAGGGTGAAGATGCTTCATCTTCAAGCAGGGGAAATAACCTGCCTCACAGCTCAGCCCGTGGACATGAAAGGTTCTCCCAGCAGCAGCAGCGTTTTCTCAAAGCCAGGTGCTCGTTTCAACCTCGGGGAAGGCTGTCAGGTTGTTGTCAGCTATTTACATGCCGTACACCCAAGGCGAACGGGCTCACGTGACGTTCACTTCTGGCACAACGCTGCTCGGCTCACAGGCTGAAAATATCCAACCAATTAGGAAAAAATGGCTGCTTATAAATAAAATGTGGGACCATCCCTGCCACTGTAACAAAATAGCATCAAACCAAAAACTAGCCTGTGCGGAGCAGAGGTCTGGCCAGGCTGCTGCTCAAGCCTTGCCAGGATGAGCATTTGTATTTGTATAGCAGAATATTTGGTGTTATAATCACGGCAGTGGGTGATGCCACTGCAGAAGAGAGTGCTGCCTGCAAAACTGAAAGCCTCTCCCATGCGGGATCGCGGGGATTCGGTGCCTTGTGCTGTGGAGAAGCAGCCCTGAAAAGCAAAAGGGAAAAAGCAAAAGGGAAAAAGCAAAACCTGCTCTGTTTTCTGGAACACCCCGAACCCTGAAGCCCAACTCAGCAGTGCCAGATCAGAAAGGAGTCACACGGAGCTCTGAACGTGAGATGCAGCCTGCAGCATAGGTGCTCCAGACGCTCCCAGCCCACTCGCGCTCCATGTGCCCTCCGGTCTGCAGCACTGCCCTGGGCTCAGCTCTGTCAGTGAGAATTCAGAATTCAACGGAATCAGAAAATTAAAAACCCCCCAAAACCTGAAAGCCTAAGGCTGCCAACAGTTTCCACACTTCGGAGAATATTTCTGGCCACATCTTTGGTTCAAAGGGTGGCTGGGAAACCCAGGTCCTGAAGGTCTTCGGTAATATTTAATTTTCATCCAGAGCCTTTCAGCCACGTGAAATAACAGAAAAAATATACAAGAAACTTCTACCACTTAGATACATCTAAAACCAGTTCACGCTGCGAATCCTCTTTGGCATCTCGACCGCCTTTCACGGGCGGCAGAGCCCTCGTGCCCATCTCATCGGTGCTGCCCGAGGTTCTCTGGCTGTGCTGGAGATGCTGCAGCACCTTCATCGCCTCTCAGCCACCCATGGTGACATGTTGCTGCAGCGGGAATGAGGTGTGGGAGATGGCAGGAGCTTAGGGCACCCGCGGAAATGCCATTTTCCATCCAACTTTTGTCCCTATCAGGGCCAGCACAGCACTGGGTGCACAGGTTGATGGTCATGGCCCAGCTGCCACATTTGCTCTTGCGCAATTGCAGCTTGGTATCGTGTGGAGTTTAAAAGGCCATTGATAAACCCTGTGCCGTGAGCCTTTTCATGTGCTACACATGTACAGAGAACCACTGGCAGCCAGAGCCTGCCACGGAAGCCAGAGCCACACAGATAAACCCCTGCAGACCCAGATACCCTTTGAGTTAAGCAGCTAAAATTAATTTTCGCTGAAGCTGCTTGTGACAGCCCGTCGTCTCAGCTCCACAAAATAATCCCCTCCAGTGAGAAGCACCTTTATAGCAAGAGGCTCCGAGCAGCACTACCAGAGCTGGGACGTGGAAAGGTGAAAGCCGATGGGGTAAAACTGGGTTTTGCCCATGTGTTTCCCAGCAGAGCCCCCAGCAGACCCAGTCCCTTTTACAAGGAGAAACGCGTGTCCCCAAGCCCAGTGCTGACAGGGTCCAGAATGTGCCACCGCTTCATCCAGAGCATCGCTGTCCCTCTGGGTTGTGGCAGTCACAAAATGGGACACATAGGGCAGGGGGGAGCAGAGAACAGCACCACACTCCCCATGGGGCTGCCACCGCTGCGGCTCTTGGCATCACCCGCCCCGCTGGCTGTGCCGGCCAGCGAGGGTCCACATCAGGAACGTGGCGCAGAGGAAAGGGGGTCAATGGGAAGGCTCGAGGCTTCTCCAGTTCACAGCTTGGAGCAGGGGGACCTAGGCTCCCCCGACATAGTGGTCAGAGGGGCCTCCTGGGCTCTTGCTGCCCCAGCCCAGGTGGTGGTGGCTCAGGTGGCCGCAGGGGCAGCCGGCAGCTCCTTGGCGGGGCCGGGGGGCGAATCAAAAAAAAAGTTCTCGTATTTTGGCTCTTCCTCTGGGGCAGCCTCTCCCTTCTCTTCGAGGCTGAGGACTATCTCAGGGCTTTTGCTCCTCTCCGTGGCACCTATAGCATCGCTGGCCACATCCTGGGCCCCGGTGATTTTCGGCGAGGGAGATGCGAGAAGGAAGGACTGTCTCTCGCCAGGGTGCTTGCCAGGGGATGACTCGTCGGGAGCCCCGGGGACACTCTCCCTCTGCTTGCAGCTATTCACCGAATCTCTGCGCTGGGCCAGGGCCCGGCGGGGTGGTTTCTGGATGCCCTCAATGCTCCTTCTCACCTTGGGCTCCTCCTTTGTGGCCCACTTGCCCTTCTGCAAGCTGCCCAGCCGCTTGAGCACAGCCTGGACTGGTCCCTCACCACTCCCCTCCGACTTGGGGTCCTGCCCGGCCGTTCCTACCATCATGTAGATGGTGGTGACGTTGGGCTCCTTCCCTTTCGCCTCCCAGGTGCTGGATTTCGCAGCTGCTTCAAGCGCCTCCACTCTCTGGGCCACATGCCTGGTGCCGGAGACCACCCGCCGGCGTCCCCCTGGGGTGGCCCGGGGTGATGGCCGGTGGCTTTCCTCCCCCTTGCTGAGGGGCTCAGGGCTCTCGTAGCAATCGCTGGCTGGTCTTTCAGTGGGGGGCTCAGCTGCCGCATCCCCCAGCATTTGGGACAGCTTGGATGGGCCCCATGGGGTCTTGGGCTTCCGCCCGGGGCTGGGGGTCTCTGCCTCCCCAAATTTTGTCCCCTCAGCAAAGGACACGGACGGCCGCTTGGCCTTGGCGATGCTGGAAGTGCGAGGGATGGCGAAGGGCTGCGAGACGTCCTCGGAGTCAAAGGCAGAGGGGTCTGGGAGCGCCTCGCCGGGGGCGGACACTCCGTCCTGCAGCTCGGCTCCCCCCAGCAGCGGGATGCCTGCAGGAGAAGGGGGTGAGAGTTAGGGCTGCTTGACCTACCCCCCCTGCACAGGGACACACTTTGGGACATCGGGACAGGGGCTGATGCAACAGGATTGTCCCTGGAAGCGTTTCCCTGGGAGGAGGTTGTGAAATGGGGCTGCCCACACCAGGCATGTCCCATCACACGAGGACAAACACAGCCCCAGTGTGTCCTTGCAGACAAGAAAATGAGGGTATGAAAATAAACGCTGCCTGTGCCCAGCACCCGTCCCTGGGACGCCCAGGGTTGGTAGTGGGGCAGAACTGACCCCGGGCAGCCCAGAAGGGAAGAGAAGGAGCAGCCATGGATGTCACCTTCTCTGGGAGGGACGGAGTATTCGGGTCCCTCGTTGTCAGTGTCAAAAGAAGAGAAGGAGCTGTCTGAAACCCATGCAGCTGATGGCGGCTCGATGAAGCTGGGGTTGAAGGGGATTTCTGCATCATGGTGGGAAACTGGGGAGAAGAAGACACCCAGCTGAGCTCAGGCACCCCGGGGTGCTCAGGGCAAGAGAGCAGCGTCTGCCCCGAGCTGTGCAGCGGGACAAGGGGAGTTGCAGGTTTCCCCCCAAATGGTGACGATGCAGAGAGCGCAGGGTGGGGGTGAACCCCTGGAAGGGCTGTCAGCAGCTCTGCTTTTTTTTTTTACCTGTGACTTTGGGAAGTTTGTAGCCGCCCAGGGAAAAACAAGGCATCATAGCGCTGAGGTTCGCCAGCACCCCCCGCACGTGGTGCTTCATCCTGGCTACCACGTCATCGTCCGGCACGGCCGCCCTGTGCAGGGGAGACGGATGTCGAGGGACATGGGAGACGGGGTTTTGCATCAAAGGTTGCAAAATAAAAAAAAATACCTGTCTCTAGCATCTGCTGGGCCGGCTCCACAGCAACAGCAGACGATGCAGAGCAGCAGTAGCAAGAGAGGGACGAGGATGGCAGCTGCCAGGGCCCCGTGGTCCTTTAAACCTGTGCAGAGAAGATGGGTTGAGTCCGGCATGTCCTGTGGCTGCCAAGCCCATAGAGCTGCCCAGCCCAGAGAGCACAGGAGCTGGCAACTCGTGGTGGGACCAGGAGGCACCAGGTGGGACTGGGCGGCATTGCAGACTCCTGGCACCCTCACCAGCAGTCCCTTTGCCCAGTGCTGAGGAGTAAATTTGAAGTTGCTCTTACTCAACACGCAGTCACCCCGTACGGGGTGGCAGGTCCCCCGGGAGCACTGGCAGGGTGAGGAACAGTTCACCCCAAAATATCCCTCTGGGCAGGTGTTGTTGCAGCTGGAAGAGAGAGGAAAGGAGGGGAAATGGTCCCAGGCAGAGCAGGGCCCCATCCCTGCCCTGCTCCTGGCGTTACCTGGCTCCCCAGTAGCCTCCCTGGCAGATGCAAGCTCCTGACACGGGGTCGCAGCTCCCCGCAACGCACTCGGGGCAGAGGAACTGGCATCCGTCACCGAAGGTGCCTGTGGGGCAGGAGCTGTTGCAGCTGCCAAGACAGAGAGCGAAACATCAGCCTGCTGCACCCCAGAGCAGGGACCCCCCCATGAGGACCCTGATCCTGGGTGTACCTGGGTCCTGTCCAGCCGGGCTCACAGTACGGGCAGGACCCGGTCTCTGGGTCGCAGACCTCCCCACGCCGGCAGCGGGGACATGGCTGGAGGCAGCCCTC